AGTCTTTTTAAGCTGTAAACAGGCATTTAAGGCATTTAAGCATGCATATATTTGGAGTGTTTTGCATCTCTTCATGACTTCAATGTTTTCTACAACCTGCCAAAGACCTAAGTGGCCTAATGGTAATCTCTCCTCCAAGTGGAGCAAGAGATCCTAGGTTCAAGTTGTTGGCATGTGGGTGGGTTGGGTAATGGGATTGTGCAACTCGAAAAAAAAAAAAAAAATCTATAACCTATCCTAATTTTGAAGTGGATGGGTGAGTAAAATGGAAGGATCCTGATTCTCTAGATTTTTCTACAGGTATAACTGGTTGCCCGCTACAAGCATATATTTTCATGGGACCAATTTACTACCAGAAGTTAAAACATATGGTGAGATTCAATCCTTAATTGCATGCTTGTCTGCTAGTGCTATTCACATTTGATTGTGATTCATGGCCATTGTTTATTACTTTTGGCCCTACTTTGAACAAAAGAATGATCAAGGAATTACAAATATTATAACAAGAACTTGGTCAATACTTGGACATGAAGTGTAAGTGTTTTATTTCATGTCATATTAAATAGCTGTATGTCTTTAATAGATTTTCAGTTTTCATATAAATTTTCTGTGCTTTAACATTTTTTACTGTTTTATAACATCAGTCATAGCCATGACTTTCATACTTCCTCGCCTGTACTTTATATTATGAAAGTGAAATATCTTGATTTTTATTGTCCTCTGATGGAAAATGTGTTACTTTTAGGTGGAATTGTGTAAAAAAAAAGAAAAAGAAAGAAAGAAACCATGATAGTCATTTGACTAATTGATGCTGAACTCGCACATCTGAATTTGTGCTGACTGATACTTTTATGATCATTTAGGTCCTAGATAAAATGCATGCGAGAGGTAGTGGGCCTCGAGTTATGTTGACTAGACAACCTACTGAGGGGAGAGCTCGAAATGGAGGTTTATGCTTTTCTATAATCATATGTTCTTCTTTTAACATCTTTCTAAATGAAATGTTATTTATCTCATAATATTCATGCTCCAGGTTTACGAGTTGGAGAAATGGAACGTGATTGTCTAATTGCTTATGGTGCTAGCATGTTGATTTTTGAGCGCCTGATGATTTCTAGTGATCCTTTCGAAGTTCAGGTATTGTTCGTCCCTCTGTTGCTTCACATGATATCATCTTATATAGCTGGTGACAATATAATCTTTGCACACAGGTTTGCAGAAAGTGTGGTTTGTTAGGGTATTACAGCCATAAGCTGAAAACTGGAATTTGTTCTTCATGTAAAAATGGAGATAATGTTTCCACAATGAAGCTACCATATGCATGTAAACTTTTGTTCCAGGTAAACTTTGATGTCATTTTTTTTTTTTTTTTTGAAGTAAACTTGGATACTTGATTGATTGTTGTTGTTATGGTCTTTGCTAAAAAATGAAGGTTTTTGATTTTATGTTCTAAAGAGATGAGTATGATCTTTGTTTCTTCTCATGCTTTATTGATTATATTTCTGCATTTGATGGCATGCATCTAGGAACTCCAATCAATGAACATCGTTCCACGTCTGAAACTTGCAGAGGCTTGATTGTTGGATTTTGTAAACTGGAAGACTACATAGTGGGTATGTTAACCATTCTTTTCTCTTTGGAGTTCTATATCAAATCCATCCAACGATTTATTTTGTGAAGTAATGTATTTCTAAACAGTATTTCTCAAGTATATCGAGGGATTTGGACTAGGAATTGCTCCTTGGAGGATATTGGTTGCAAATCATTTGTGCAAAGTAGAACGGTATTAGATATTCAAGGCCCAAACCAGCATGTTGCTTCAGAAATGCATACGTTCGGGAATCTGTCAAGTCTGGTGTTCTCTGCCATTGGCCTTCATTGAATCTTATATTTATGGAGAGTTCGGCATTACCAAGAACGCTGGTGATGGTTGAACGTATCTTTTTGCAAAATTGTAATTAAATTCTTCTAAAAGAACATTTGAACTTTTTTGTTTTCTAATTCTTATCCTTTGTTGGGGGTTTTCTCATAATAATAATAATAATAATACTATTTTCATTAAATAATAGTATAGTCTCAATTTAACATTTTAAGAAACAAAGTATAGGTGAAATTCTTCACCCCAGGCACATAAAGGAAGAAGAGAAAAATAATTTTCTTCTGCCATAAATCCTAGCCGCACAGTTTATACTAGAGGAAGGGCACCAAATTCTTCTTCCAGTAGTTGAACCCAAACCTTGAAGAGAAAATCAGGCCATAAGTCTGTCCATAAATCTGTAACAATACCAAGACCAGGTAGTCTCTAGACAATGCCGTAGACCCTAACTGCAATCTTCGATGAACTTTATGCATGCCTAATGTTCAAGTGAATGCAACTTACTTTCTTGTTCCGCAAAGAATCTAATATCATCCCTTCATACTCTTAGTCCATCTTGGTCGTACCTAGCTCAATTTTAGGTATTTACTATAATTTCTTATACACAAGAAAACTTTATGCATTCTGGTTTACATGGCAAATGAACACTACTCTAATCCGCAGAGTCACCAACTTGCATTGTAATGTGGAAATTGCCAACTAACATCTTTATCATGGATTCTGCAAATAATGATTTCACTAGCAAATCTTACAAGAATATAGCAAATGCAGTAGCTACTAGGATCATTCCAAAAGGTAATTTAACAGTAAGAGTCTACCTTCCTTTTTCATGTTTCTAATTTTTGTGCAGAGTTAAAAGTATTGAAATCTATGGGGGTGTTTGGTTTATTTTCTCAAGAAATATTCCCTTCTAGGGGTTTGTAAGAATATTTTGATACTTACATACCTCAAAATTACATTATTTTGGTATTTACATACCTCAAAACTACAATAAATAAAGGGTAAAAGTGATATATTTAGCCTTTATTTTCTTTGACACAATTCTCAACTCATAAACTTTTCTTCCTCCCTCTTTTGAAAGAAAAATGTTCCCTACAAGTTTTTCTATATTGAACTTACTTAACAACTTTTATTAGTAATTTTTTTTATATCAATTTCTTACTAAATACAATAAAATTAACAACTCAACCAAATTCTACTAAAATTTCATTACAAAACTTACTAACTTTCTGTACAGTATTTTTTCAATCACTTTTTTAGTAAAAACTTTATGAGAAAAGTTGATCTCTAACCAAATACACCCTATACTTAAATTCCTTCTTAAATTTTAATTAAATTTAGAATAACTTAAAATTGTTAAACTGAATGATCACTCGCTGCACCTCAAGTTAAATGAGATTTGGTCCAAAACTTCATTACAAAAATTAGTAACTTTTTGTATAGTATTTTTTCAACTACTTTCTTAATAAAAACTTTTTGAGAAAAGTTGCTTTCTAAGCAAACACACCCTGTACTTAAATTCCTTCTTAAGTTTTAAGCAAATTTAAAATAACTTGAACTTGTTAAACTTAACAATCACTCACCTCAAGTTAAATGAGATTTGGCCCAAAACTCCTCTAAAAATCTCTTAGTTTTGCTGCCGCCTTTGCTGCAAAGCCACAACTCCTTCTCTATTCCTATTTGGCCTTTCTTGTGCCGGATTGAAGAGAAATAAGAGTTGTTTTGATCATTCACCATTTGAAAGAATAATAATTCGGACGAATTAGTGGAATTTTAACACATTCTTCTTCAAAACTTTGAACCATATACTTCTTTCACTCGGCAATCACGTGCAAAGTGCATGCTTTTCTTCCCTTTTTTTTTTTTTTGGAGAATTGTGCCAAGTGCATGATTACCTGTCATTAACCTCACTAAGCCATTTTTGTTCATTGAGCATTATTAAGAAATTAATCCCTAAATATTTCTTAACAAAAAGACCTCAACTATTAAGTTTTTAACTTTAAGGACTAAACTTCTAATATTTTTACATGGGGATAGGGATTCTTCAAAATCATTCAAGCTAGCATTAATCAAAGAATTGGGTCTTCTCTCGTCCACAGAGGCGCGGGTCTGGATTTCATTAGAGAAATTTTATTTTGTATTTTAGGTGTCAGCAAATCAACAAAATCGGAGCAATACACCAAGGCATGCATCACTTTTCATTCCTTAACCATAGATATCTACAAGGATCTTAGGCAGGTCTTTTAAAAAATTTTAAATTTATATAATCATGCTCAAAAAACTTTTTATTAAATATTTTAATTTGTTAGAATGTGTGTGAGTAAAATATAACATGTCTTTTTGAAAGAGTGACTAGTAATATTGAATAGAGGGAATATGTTAATTCACCGATGATAGAAGCCTGTTAGTGTGCGTCTTTTTGTAGTGATGCACATCTTTTCGTGGACTTCTGAATTTGAATTTTGATCATTTAACAGTCTTTGAAAGTATTGTGGACTATAAATTAAGCACACCTTGCATCACTTACATAAAAAGATCCGACAAGTCCAGACTAGCTTAAGAGAAAGAAAGGCTCACTTCGGAAACTCTCAACAAAAAGAGAATGTGAGTACATATACTTGGTTACAAGATTCTGAACCTCATTTAGTAGTAATTAAGAGTTCATCTGCAGAAATGTTGGTGCATTTCCTCAATTATTAGATTCTCGCATTGGGGATGTTAAACTGTGTGAGATGAACCTCCTGAGGCAGGAGATTATACTTGATACCAAGGTTATCGCAAATCTTCTTCAATTCAAGCACAAGCTCCGATCTTCGACTGCTTTTCTCGCCATAGTTTTGATGGTTCATGGTATGCTGAACATACAAAGCCATTTTTAACTTGTCCATGTTCTCAATATCCTTGAATATCACCGAATGCTTTGGACCCCAATACTTAGGCTTGCTCTCTATGTACCTGCATTTAGGAAAAGTTTACACATGATCATAATTAACTTTAATAATAACACTTTAGTGTGTGTAAGTGTGCGTGTGTTAGTCCTCACCCTTAAATTTTTTGAGTTATAGATGATGTAACATTCTTTTAACTATTTATATTAAAAGACTTGTACATATATTCCACAGGTACATGTTTATGGTTAATTAGTATATTTTTTAGTTATTAAATGATATAAAAATTTAAAATGTTGGTATTAGTTTTAGTATTAATATATTGCCACCATAGTAATTTAATAGTTTAGTTGTTGAAATTAAAATCAAAATTTAATTTTTTATGTAATTTAATGACTAAAAAATATATTATATGCACTTTAAGACATAAATTAAAAAAATATTAAATTAAAACATGAGATTTTATATCATTTTACTGAGAAAAATGTTTCTTTGTTAAAAAAAAACACACATGTTTTGAAGCAAAATATAGAAATGGCCTAATCACAGACAAGAAAAGAGTTGTTCTAACCTCTACTATCAAGTATTACTACCATATATGTTAACTGTTAAGACAAGTGTTTAAGTGAAATGGTTATTGATACTAACACTACAAAAGTTTTCAAAAATTAAGGTAGGATATGTATATACTTACGTCTGTATGGCCTTCTTGAGGGCATTGATGTCATCGACGGGAGTGGAGACATCGATGGTGAATTCAACACCGTCACCCATGTCCGGACTTCTTCTGAAATTGCTGATGGGCTTTGTAAGGAGAACTGAATTTGGGTAATAGATCTTCTCCATGTCATACCTCAAAAACACAGTCGTTAAAATATTCATTTCTTCCACAATCATCTGCGTTCAGACAAAACATTACCTAGCTATTAGTGCCTTAGACTAATGTCATTCTGTGGTGACCTAGTTATTTTTTGCCTAAGGCCATGCATGAAGTATCGAAGCAATACCATTTTGGATAAAAGAAATTAGGAATCCGTTGTTTTGGCCATAAATTAGGAGTCCTCTAGTCCTACTAACTAGTACTAACCAAAACTACATGGTTGCGCTAAAGATATAAATAGCTCTTTGGTCCCTTAAATTTTTAATGAAAAATTGTGCTACAGTCCACTTTATAACAGATTGTAATATAAGAATCATTAAAAGGAAAATATCCCTTGATATTGGACCCTCCCCTCTCCCTTTTGATGATTTTAATGTTATAGTCTATCACAAGGCAAATTATAGCACAGGATACCCAATTTTTAATTTTGTAGCAAATTGGTTTTTTTAACTTTTTTTATATATAATTTTAGTCCCTCAACTCATCAATTTAATGCCAAATTAGTCCATCTATTCATGGCATGTTGATATGACACCGTTAACTCACGAAAACTAATTAAAAATGCTAACATATGGCTATTTAAAAGGGAATGAAATGCTGATGTGGGTAATTTTTACAGCCCATATCACCATTTTTCATCCTACATAAAAAAACAATAAACTTTTTTTTTTTAAAAATAAAGACTAATTATAAAGCAATTGCCAAAAAGGGAGAGAAAGAGATTATGGGGCTTTCTAGAAAACTCAACAAGAGAGCTCTTCTGAGATCAACGGTACTATTAAGTTAGTTATATGTACCTGTACGCCTTCGATTACGCAGCGATCACCAACATCAAAAGGGTGCATGATGAAGACGAAAATGATGGACTCGAACACAGTTTTGCATGTGTTTTGGAACATGAAACCGACAAGTAGTAGTTGAGATGTTACCACGAAAACTACCTTAATTGTTGCTAGCCCCATCACCAAGAGAGACACCACAATGATGATCACCACCACGATAGCACTTGCCAATCGGTGCAGCTGTTGGACTGCCGTCTTGGTATCATTCAAGGAATGTGCCAGTGCTTTACGCTCAGTGTAAGCATGCACCTTAATAATTTATTATAGACGTTTCAAATTAATTAATTGAAGAAATTAAATACACAAAGACATGGTAATAATTAGATAGTCCTACCTTATACTCCTATATGGGACAAAGGTAATTTAATTAGTGGAGGATATATGAAATTAATTATAATATATAAAGGTCATGAGTGGCCCAATGGTCTGCCAACTAAGAGGAATTTAATTAGTAACATAATTTGTACTTTCCAAATCAATTAATTAATTACAATGTTCACATCAAATTTCTTCTAAATTAATTGAATAAATTAAAATAATAATCATCCTACTTTACATAGTATAATATATGGTATAAAGGAAATTAATATTTATATGTTGGGAGACCCTCAAGCTTTCAATTATGTTCATATATTATGACTGAAATTCTTCAGACTTGAAATGAAATGAATAATTAAAGTGCCTAGAGTCTGAGAGTGTAGACGTTAATTTGCAATATATCTTACCACCCAGTTTCTGAAGGAAGATTTAGTTATCTTCCCAGTCTCGAGGGCTCCTTCAAAGAGAGGAAATATAGTGTTCACCTCATCACTCTTTAAGAATCTCAACAGGTCTTCTTCTTCTATGTATCTGTAATTTACATTAATAATACCAAACTCAAATTAACAGGAGTTTAATAACTGTAATATACGACCATAAAATTAAAGAAAAAAAAGACTGTAATTTATCTTAAAAAGGAAAATGCCTTTTTTTTTTTTTCTTTAACATTTGGGTGTGTGGTTGAGGGGATTTCAAAGCTAGGACTTTCTAGAGCCCAGCATTTACTTAACAAAGAGGAATATTGGAATGGAGAAAAACAAAAGAAACAACAAAGTAATATGATCTTATTAATTTCAGGTACAGAGCACCTTAACATTTAGAGTAAACAGTTTTATAGAACTTGCTCAAGTTTAAAAGGATTAATGCTTCATGAGCTTAAATTCCAAACAAAAAAAATATAAAAACAAAAAACAAAGAAAAAAATCGAGAAGTCTCTATCAATATAGGTAGAAAACATTTTTAGCATTCACACCAAAAATTATTTAAAATCTTTCCAGGACAGTTTTGAATATCTACTAAGAACTTTGTTATAGATAGTCAGAATTAATGAATACTAACATGACTTAACTTTAGTTACTAAAAGAAATTAAAACATTATTTCAAAATATTTAATAATAGTAATCTGCTTTATATAAATATCAAAAGATTAAAAGTCTAAATCTTTGTCTTTAGTCTCGTGACCTTAGATTGTAAAATAATTTTTTGATATAAAAAGGACAATGATATGGACACACAATGGGCAATACTCAAATAAACATCCAGCTGATCGGTAGAACTGTGAGGAGGGTAAATTTGTCAGTTTATTTCTACCAGTCAGCTGAGTGTTGATTTGGGTGTTGCCCATTATGTGTCGCCCATTATGTGTCCATATCATTGTCCATATAAAAAATGTCATTTATAAATTATGGGATGAACAGATGATTTTTTTTCTTTAACCATGATGAACAGATATGATTGTGCCACACCATATTATTATTAATTTAGATGTAAAGGGAAACCCTCTCTCCAAACCCAAAATATACAAAATAACCCCCATAATTTCTTTTTATATTTTATTCAAGAGTTTTTAGTTTTATAGTTCAAATTGCATCCAATTATTAAGCAATATCCGTTGGATAGAAGAAAAGCTTCAATATCATGGAGTCCACCCTCATTTAATTATTATAATTATACAACCCAATACAATCTAATCTCACAACACTTTTATCTTTATTCAAATTCACATAAAAGAGAGCTATCACTAATCACACTCGGTACCTAATTGCCTCGGTAATGCCATTCCCCCATAGCACCATCCCTGGAAAAATACTACCAGTGGCGCCGTGGTCGGTGTCTTTACAATAAAATATGTAAAAAATTAAGAGCATATTTGATTTGTTGAGACTTATAGTCTACGAAAATGATATAGGTATAATACAATGTGATGTTGTAATTAAGTTTATAATTTGATATATTACTATATAATTAGTTCTTTTCATTTAAAGGTTCAGTTGTGATATTGTATATATATATATATATTTACTTATTTAATCACATATCACACTCATTTAATACCAAATTATAATTATAAATTTACAATATTACGTAATACTATAATTATAACAATAATAGTACATCCGATAGTTAAGAAGTTGGGTAGAATATTTGAAAAGATATACTCTCTATTTCAATTTAAATATGGTTTTTTGAAATGTATTTTTCGTTGTATTTTGTCTTTTCTACATGTTAATAAATTATTAATTATATTATTTCTAACAAAAAATTATTTTACAATTCAAATAGCATCAAATTGTGAAATATGAATATTTAGATGAGAGGTGGACTCTTTGATATTGGAAGCTTTTTCTCATCCAAAAAAACATGTTTTATAGTCAAAACTATCCAAACTATAAACAGGTGGATTTTATTTCTAGTTATCATACTAGACTATAAAACAATATACTCTATTTCTAATTATATCCTCACTCACCCATTAAATGGCTGCAACACTCACTTAATATTAAT